ATTTTATATAGATGGAATCATACAATATGTGTTCTTTTATGACTGACTTTTTTCACTTAGCATGCTGTTTTTTATTAATTTTATTTAAGTAAACTCTACACTCAATGTGGGGCTTGAACTCACAACCCTGAGATGAAGAGTCACATGCTCCTCCAACTGAGTCAGCCAGACACCCCACTTGGCATACTATTTTCAAGGTCCGTCCATGTTGTGTAATATATCAGGATTCTTTTTTTTTTTTTGCTAAATAATATTCCACTCTGTAGATATGCTATATTTTGTTTATCTGTTCCAATCCATCAGTTGATGGATATTTGGGTTTCTACTTTTTAGCTGTTATGAATAAGGGTTCTATAAACATTCCCATACAAGTTTTTCATTTCCCTTAGGTAAATACCCAGAGGTGGAATTACTAAGTTACATGGTAATTGGTAGACTTTTTTTCGAAAGTGTCCACATCACTTTATATTCCCACTAGTAATGTATGAGAGTTCCAATTTTTCTGTATCTTCACCAACACTTATTGTCTGACTGCCTGATTATAGGCACCCTCATGGATGTGAGGTATTTATTTCATTATGATTTTGATTTGCATTTCCCTGATTACTAATGATGTTGAGCATTTTTCATATGATTATTGGTCATTTATACTTCTTTGGAGAAACATCTGTTCAGACCTTTGCTTGTTTTTAATTGAGTTTTTTTTATTATTGTAAGAGTTATTTATATATTCTAGATACAAATCTTTTATTAGATATATGATTTGCAACTCATTTCTCCTGTTCTGTGGGCTTTCTTTTCATTTTCTTGATGATGACCTCTGAAGCACAAAAGTTTCTTATTCCGGTGAGATCCAAAGTGTCTATTTTTTCCTTTGGTTGGTTGTTCTTTTGGTCTTGTATCTGAGAAACCATTTAGAAATCCAAAATCAGGAAGATTTATACTGGTATTTTTGTCCAAGATGTTAATAATTTTAGCCCTTACATTTAGGTCTTTGATCCATTTTAAGTTAATTTTTGTATATGATGTGAGGTAGGGCTCCCATCTTCATCCTTTTGCATGTAGATACCCACTTGTCCCAGCACCATTTGTTTATAAGCCTGTTCTTTTGCCCATTTTATTGTCCAGGCATGCTTGTCAAAAATATTCACCGTAAAAAATATTGACCATAAAAAATATTGACCATAAATATGAGAGTTTATTTCTGGATTCTCAGTTCTGTTTCATTGATCCGTATATCTATTCTATCTCAATTACTATACTATCTCAATTACTATAGCTTTATAGTAAGTTTCAAAATTGACAAGTGTGAGTTCTCCAACTTTGTTTTTTTTAAAGATTATTTCAGTTATTCTAGGTCCCTTATGGTTTTTCCCTTTAATTTTTTATTTGGATACTATTTGGTTAATGTACAGTGCAATATTGGTTTCAAGAGTAGAATTCAGTGGTTCATCACTTACATACAAAACCCAGGACTCACTCATAACGTAACATAACATAACTCATCATAACTCATCATACCTCCTTAATACCCATCACTCATCTAGCCCATTCTCCCCATCAACCCTCAGTTTGTTCTCTATCAATAAGAGTCTCTTGTGGTTAGTGTCTCCTTTTTTTTTTCCTCCTTCCCATATGAACATCTGTTTTTTGTTTCTTAAATTCCACATATGAGTGTAATCATATGGTATTTATCTTTCTCTGACTCTTATTTCATTAGCATAATACACTCTACCTCCAACCACATCATTGTAAATGGCAATATTTCATTCTTTTTGATGACTGAGTAACATTCCATTGTGTGTATATACTGCATCTTCTTTATCCATTCATCAGTCAATGGACATTTGGGCTCTTTCCATAGTTTGGCTAGGTCCCTTGTATTTCCATATGAATTTTAAGATCAATTTGTGAATTTCTGCAAAAACGTAAGCTGGATTTTGATAAGAATTATATTGAATCTGTAGATCAGTTAAATAAGTTTCCTGATCTATGAATATGGAGGTCTTTACATTTATTTAGGTCATTAATGTTTTATTTTAACACTTTTTTCTTAAATTCCTATTTTTTTTGATGCTTATGTAAATGGAATGTTTTCCTTTTTATTTTTTTAATGTTTATTTATTTTTGAGAGAGAGAGAGCATAAGTGGGGGAGAGGCAGAGAGAGAACGAGACACAGAATCTGAAGGAGGCTCCAGGGTCTGAGCTGTCAGCACAGAGCCTGATATGGGGCTTGAAGCCACGAACTGTGAGATCATGATCTGAGCTGAAGTCGGATGCTTAACCGACTAAGCCGCCTAGGCACCCCCTGGAATTGTTTTCTTAATTTCATTTAAAATTGTTCATTGTAAGTATATAGATATAATTGATATTATGTATTATAACTAAAACAGATCTTATATCCTGCAACCTTGCTGAACTTGTTTTTTTGGTTTTTTTCCGTTTTTTTTTTTTTATGTTCTGATAGGTTTTTTTGTTGTTAATTCCTTAGGACTTTATTATTTTTATTTTTTAACATTTGTTTATTTTTTGAGAGAGAGAGAGAGAGACAGAGCATGAGCAGGGAAGGGGCAGAGAGAGAGGAAGCCACAGAATCCAAAGCAGGCTCCAGGCTCTGAGCTGTCAGCACAGAGCCTGACAAGGGGCTCGAACTCATTAACCATGAGATCATGACCTGTGCCGAAGTTGGACACTTAACTGACTGAGCCACAGGTGCTCCGCCTCTTTTTAAATGTTTATTTAATTATTTTGAGAGAGAGGTACCAACTTGACAGTAAACTATTAAAAAAAAAAAAAGAATAGCAATAATGACCAAAAAAAACTGTCTAAAAGTAGGCTTTCCATCTATGGATATAACATTAATACTCTTTTCTCTAACATAGTGTGTGTATCCATAGAAATATGATCTGCTATTCATAGAACTTACTGCCTTTGTCTAGTGCTGGGTCTAGGATCTCTGGGCAACATGCATTTTTCTTGGTCAAGTACAATTCAGCCAATTTGCATTTGTTGAGTTATTAGCCACTTTGCCTAACTCACATTTTGTTTTTTAAAGCCTATCTCCCTAATCTCTTGCTCTTCAGTGGCCAAAGAGAAGACTTCTTTAGATTATGTTACTTGAGCCTATCATTTTTATCTGGAATGTTTGTAAGGTCCTGAAAACTGTATTCATTTTCATTGCTTTAATTGTTGTTATGTTATGTTATGTTAACATACAGGTTATTTTAATGCAAGTCTTTGCTTGCTAGAATCTCTCTGGAAATAAACCTTCAAACTTGGGTATGGGAAAAAAATTATTTTGAGAGAGAGGGAAGGCGCTAGTTGGGGTGAGCCAGAGACAGAGGGAGAGAGAATCCCAAGACAGCTCCCCACTGTCAGTGCAGAGCCCCACCTGCGCCTCAATCCCCACAAGCTGTGAGACCGTGACCTTCACCGAAATCAAGAGTTGGACACTCAACCGACAGAGTCACCCAAGTGCCCCCCTTAGGATTTTCTTTATACAAGATTATATCACCTGCAAATAGTGATGGTTTTGCTTTTTCTTTACAATCTGCATGTTTTTTTATTTCTTTCTCTTGCTTCATTCTAGGACCTTCAGTACAATACTGAATAGAAGTGGTGAAGGCAGATATCTTTGTCTTATTCCTGAGTTTAGTGGGGAAATATTCAGACTTTAAAGATTAAGTATGATACTGACTGGGTTTTTCATAATCTTTATCAGGTTGAGGAATTTCTGTAAACTTTTTATACCTTACCTCATGAGTACTTCTCTGTCATTAATATATCTTTTTGAACTATACTTTCTAATGGTTACTATTAAAATGTCACATGTATAGTCTAATAGTGGTTAAGATTTGTGTTCCTGAGTCAGTTTTTAATTTGAAGCTATACTTTATCACTATGTGCAGAATGATGAGAAAGATGTTACTTTTCTGAACCAGTTTCCAATTACAACTTTAAAAATGAAGATAATGCTTCACTACTTTTTAGAATAGGGGTGAAAGAGGGGCGCCTGGGTGGCTTAGTTGGTTAAGCTTCCGACTTTCGCTTAGGTCATGATCTCGCGGTTCGTGGGTTCGAGCCCCGCGTCGGGCTCTGTGCTGACTGCCAGCTCAGAGCCTGGAGCCTGTTTCAGAGTCTGTGACTCCCTCTCTCTCTCTGACCCTCCCCTACTCATGCTGTCTCTCTCCTAGAAATAAATAAAACATTAAAAAAAAAAAATTTTAGAATAGGGGTGAAAGAATAAATGAAATAATGGATAATTCATGTAAGATACTTAGCACAGTCACACAGAAAGCATGCAATGCATAATAGCTCCTATATAATTATATTATTATTGGGGATATTTAGAGTGTTTATTTCTGTAGTTAAAATGCTTACACTTAAATCTTTGTGCTTATTTGATTAGTTCTTTATTCCTCAGACTGGAATAACTGGGTTAACCTTTTCTGATGCTAACGGCTATAGCAAATTCTTTTACACAAATAAATTCATCATGTTTGAATTACTAGATTCAAATGGGGATTTTGTGGGAGATCAAGTTGGAAAGTAAATTAGGGCTAGATTTTGGAAGGACTGAGGCATCAGTGTAATAATCTAAGAATTTTCTCTTCTCTCTTCAGGCCCATGGAAGTCCATTCAAGGTTTGAGCAGGGAAGGGTCATGAGTAGTAATTTAAGAATATTAATCTGCTATTCCTCTGAGGTCTTTCCTGACATCCTTGACTGATTAGGGCACCCTGCTTGTACTTACATACTACCCAATATGTCCTCTAATGTGATATTTAATGTACTTCATGTAAATACTTGTTTAAATGTTTCTGTTCTGCTTCTTGAGAACATGAATCACCCCTTGTATTCCCACTCTCTACCACAATATCTAAGATATGGTGGAGTGAATAAAAATACTTGCTGAATGAGTAAATGATGTTTTGTTCTCTACTTTTCTGGAAATTAACTTGCTGGCTTTTGTGTTCCTTTTATGTTTTCTGGGCTCCAAGGAGGAGGCATCTCCGTATTCCTTACTTGATATCTGCTTGAATTTCCTGACTACTCACCTTGAAAAGTTCTGTTCAGCAAGACAAGATGGAACATTGTGTCTGCAAGAACCTGGAGTGTTCCCACAGGAGGTGGCTGATCGTCTGCTTCAGACCATGGCCTTTCATGGTAAAAACTAAATAGAAGAAACCAGAATTATGTGCTGTTAATTGGCAATGGGTTTTGAAGTGCTGCTGTGGCCATTTAATCAGTTTCTTAGAAAAGGCCAGATAAGCCTGATTCCAGGAAAAGGAATTTATTTATTTTTGCCTATCCTGCCACTTACTGTGTAATTTGGAACAGAATTTTCCTTTTCTAATCTGGGAAAATTGCTTTTTATCTTTCTTTCTCCTTCTCCTCTCCTCCTCCTCCTCCTCCTTCTTCTTTTTCTTTTTTTTGCCTTTCTCGTGGCAAAAATAATTTATCTAAACTTTAAAAATATCCATTTAGAAATTTGCTGGCATAAAATACCTTACATTTTTTCTTTTTTCTTTTGAGAGAGTGAGAGAGGGGAAAAAAAACAACCCATATACGAGCGGGGAAGGGGCAGCAGGAGAGAGAGAATCCCAAACAGGCTCCACGTCCAGTGCAGAGCCCCACACGGGGCTCGATTCCACAAGTCTGGGATCAGACCCAAGCTGAAATCAACAGTCAGACACTCAACTGACTGAGCCACCCATGCACTCCTACCTTACATCTTCATTTGGCAATGGGAGAATAAATACAGTTTCAGAAAAACTAACTTCTGCTGTTGACCTTTGAATTGAGAAAGCATAGCTAATTTAGTACTTCTGTTTTCAAAAACAAATTCTGAAAATAATTTCAGAAGATTGGAAAATCTTCTCTGTGAAATTGTTTATGTATATTGAGGATTTTTGTTATTTCTGCTTAAGTTTTAAGTTGAAAGTTTTAATGCCTTTATATATTTCTGGCTTATAAACTCTTAAAGTAGGAAATAGAATTTGTCCACAACTATAAAATAGAATGAAAATGTGGCAATAATGATAACTATCATTTATTGATTGCTGGTTACATGCCAGACATTTTATGTTTTTCTTGTAATTTTTAAAAAATATTTTTATTTATTTCTAGAAGAGAGAGAGCGTGAGCAGGGGAGGGTCAGAGAGAGAGGGAGTCACAGACTGAAAGAGGCTCCAGGCTCCGAGCTGGCAGTCAGCACAGAGCCGGACGTGGGGCTCGAACCCACAAACCGCGAGATCATGACCTAAGCGAAAGTCGGACGCTTAACCGACTAAGCCACCCAGGCACCCCTCCTTGAATTTTCTTAAAAATACTCTAAAATAGGGACGCCTGGGTGGCTCAGTCGTTGAGCGTCCAACTTCGGCTCGGGTCATGATCTCACGGTTCGTGTGTTCGAGCCCTGCATTGGGCTCTGTGCTCACAGCTAGCTCAGAGCCTCGAGCCTGTCTTCAAATTCTGTATCTCTCTTTCTATCTGACCCTCCCCTGCTCACCCTGTCTCTCTCTCTAAAATAAATAAAAACATTAAAAATACTCTAAAATAGCCATTATTATCCCATTTATTTATAAACAGATAAGGAAACCTAGGTTCAGAGAAGTAACTTGTTAAAGGTCACAATGCGAGAGTCCTGGTTTAAATTTAAGTCTGTCTGATTCCAAATCTGAGCTGTTTTCACTGCCACACAATCTTTACATCCCCATTAGAGATCTCCCTGCTCCTAGATGCCAGATAATTCTATACATTTTTGCTGTGGCCTTAAATATATATTAAATTTGAATCCAGATAATGTATTCCAAGGAAGGGTGAGAGAAATAAGCTTGTAATTGAGGCATTTTGGACTAATTTTGGGAAGAAGACATCGGCACTCCTTAGTTTTCACTAAATTGCTCAAGTCTGTAGTCTCTTTGAATTCTTCTAGCCTGCCAAAAGGAACGAGGGTAAATTTCAAAAGTACTATATATGGTAAAGCTAAAGATCCCTTACAGGGCTGGGCAACAATCTTAGAGATTATGAGAGTGCTAACATTTCTTTCTTAGTCTTAGTTTAATGATTATGCTTAACATACTCAATTTAAATATGTATACATAACTAATCTTGTAAATCACATGAATTTACATTGGGGCGCCTGGGTGGCTCAGTTGGTGTCCAACTTCAGCTCAGGTCATAATCTCACAGTCTATGAGTTCAAGCCCTGCATTGGGCTCACTGCTGTCAGCACAGAGCCCTCTTTGGATCCTCTGTCCCTCTCTCTCTCTGCCCCTTGCTCATGCTCAAATGCTCTCCCTCTTTCTCTCAAAAATAAAAAAAAAAAAGAACATTAAAAAAAAGAATAAATGTTAACTAAAGTTTTAACTTTGCCAGATTGTTTTTGAAATAGAACTACTGATAGCTAATAATAGCAGCTAACAATTATTGAATACTTATTATTACATACCAGGCATTGTGGCAAATGCTTTATATGGGTAAAATTATAGAAGTAGTTTTTAAGTGTAACTAAATAATTATACTCCAAAGCAGTGTCTTAGAGAGGCTATATGCTTCATCAAAATGTGTTTTCTACCTCTCCTTTGCAAGCTGCTTTCAGATGAGGAAACTGAGAGTCAGAGAAATAACCTCCTCTCCCATTGTGTTACCCACTATGATTACCTGCCTTACTTGCCAAGAAATGTTCTGAATTATTTAATCTCTTTGGAAAAATCACACACCCACTTTCAGACAGTCAAGGGTGGATACTATTCACTCGAAACTAATATAACATTGTATGCCAGCTAAACTTCAAAAGTAAAGATAAAAATTTTAAAAGTTAGAAATCTGCGGGGGGAAAAAACCTTACAGTAATTCTAGGCTGTATTATATATTACATGACGAGATTGAAATTCAACTTATGAATTTGCCAGATGTAGATTAAGAGATAACTAAAATATGAAAAATTGAAAAACAAAAAGGAGTGGATACTACTGATAACATACAAAAGAACGTACTGCCAATTCTTGTCACAATTTTTAAAAGCTGTTTGATCAGTTTTTCTGTGTATTTTAAAATTTTCATAATAAGATAGAAGTCCTATGAATACTTTTAGAATTTATAATATTTTTTCTAATAGCATAATGATTTATAAAATTCTTAGCTTGTTTACATTCAAAAGTTCTTTCTTATTTACCCAATTCAAAAGAGTGATGATATTGGTGGCAGGTGTTACTAAAATAAGCCAGATGCTGGGGCACCTGGGTGACTCAGTTGGTTAAGCCTATGACTTTGGCTCAGGTCATGATCTCACAGTTCATGGTTCAGACCTCGTGTCGGGGCTCTGTGCTGACAGCTCAGAGCCTGGAGCCTGCTTCAGATTCTGTGTCTCCCTCTCTCTCTGCCCCTCCCCTGCTCGTGCTCCATCTCACTCTGTCTCTAAAAATAAATGTTAAAAGAAAATTTTTTTAAATACAATAAGCCAGATGCTAAAGAGTTTTACTTATTGGGGTCTTTGATTCTCTTGCCATAATCTTTGCTTATTCTGTGTCATGCTAAAAATTTTCCAGGGAATGTGTGTGTAAGAGTTAAGAATGAGAATAAGAATTTTGTCATCTAATGGTGATACCTCTGTACCCAGTCTAAACTGATACACTGTGATAGGTTCAGCCTTCTGTTTTGAGGTTAAATTGAAAAGAGTAATACCTTTTGAAACATTATGGATTGCATCCTTGAATATTCAACTAAACTTTCTAGGTGACTGAGAGGTCATACTCCCAGAGTAGTACCCCACTTATCTGGAGGTCACATTGCTGGTCACCTCTGCTGTCTGTAGCCTAAACCAGGAAGAAATAAAACATGCTTTGGAGTGAAATCCTTGCATTTAGGTTTCTGTACTTCACTTCTTGAAAGAAGCCCTTGAGGAACTTTCATTTAGAGCATATTCTTGAATAGGAGTACTGAGAATGATGGTGGAGTAGGAGAATCCTAAGCCACCTCATCCCACAGATACTCCTAAATAATACCCACAGCAGTGTAAATCATCTAGAGCATATTCTTAAATATACATAAATATATTTATATTTAAATATAATTTATAATTTATATTTAAATATATATATATATTTAACAAATACATATTCTTAAATATAGTTACTTTGTGTCTTTTTTTGAGAAAGATCTCTCGCTTTTTTTTTTAAATATTTAATTATTTATTAGAGAGAAAGAATGAGTGGGGGAGAGGCAGAGAGAGAAAGAGGGAGAATCCCAAGCAGGCTCTCAGTATAGGGCCCAACATGGGGCTTGATCCTATGAACTGTGAGATCATGACCTGAGCTGAAATCAAGGGTCAGATGATTAACCGACTGAGCCACCCAAGCTCCCCTCGTTGGTTCTTTAACCATAACAAATTAAGAATTGATCATCTGGGGCACCTGGGTGGCTTAGTCGGTTAAGGGTCCAACTTCGGCTCAGGTCATGATCTCATGGTTCGTGGGTTCGAGCCCGGCATTGGGCTCTGTGCTGACAGCTAGCTGAGAACCTGGAGCCTGCTTTGGATTGTGTCTCCCTCTCTCTCTCTGACCATCCCCTACTCACAATGTCTCTCTCTCTCTTTCTCAGAAATAAATAAAAAACATTAAAAAAAAAAAAAAAAGAATTGATCATCTGAAGGGGATAGGCTGCCAACTAACAATCCCAAGTAGATAGTATGACAATAAAGGAAGATTTAGTTTAAATATACTGTAGCAACTACAATTATTAGTCATGGGAAAAAGTAGGTGATTCTTTAATATGTTTACTTTTGGAAGAAGGGAAGATAATCTGGAAAGATTTTTCTTCAGATGTAGTAATGACATTTGGGTAGTGCTTTCAGTTTGCAGAATGCCTTTTTTTTTAAATTTTTTAAATGTTTTTTTTTTTTTTTTTATTTTTGGGAGAGAGAGAGAGAGACAGCATGAACAGGGGAGGGTCAGAAAGAGGGAGACACAGAATCTGAAGCAGGCTCCAGGTTCTGAGCTGTCAGCACAGAGCCCGACGCGGGGCTCAAACCCCCAAACCGTGAGATCATGACCTGAGCCAAAGTCGGACCCTTAACCGACTGAGCCACCTAGGCACCCCAAGAATGCTTTTTAAAATATATTGTCTTATTTAATCTTCGTTGCAGTGCTTGTGAGAGAGATATA